ACCAAAAATACATAGAATCGTGAACCAAAGTGGACAGACTCTTGAAAATGACATGGACAAGGCAGATGAATTCAACAAATATTTATTAAACGTGGAACTGAAGCTAGCGTCAAAAAAAAAAAACAACGTTTTTCCAGAAGAAGAAGTGATAGAATTGAACCTACAAATGAATTTGAACTAAGAACGACAATAACCGACCTAAAAACAGCACTGCACCAGGTTATGATGGTATAACTAAAAAAGACCTAGTGAGCTGGTACAAAATCATACAAAACAATTTGATTAATATTATAAATAATGTTTGGGATACAAAAATCTACCCAGACTAATTGAAAACTGGAAAGAGTGCCAAGAAAAGGATCTCATACTGATGTTGGTAATTATAGACCAATAACATTACTGAACACCTTCTCCAAGATTCTAAAAAAAATAATTAAAAGCCGATTAACTAAGTTCATAGAAGCCGAATTTGAATATGACACAAGGCAGTATGGATTCCAAAAAAAAAAGTAATACGCTAGGCGGCACGGTTGTCTGACTCGAATACATCACTGAATAACTCAATAAAAACAAATATGTTGCTACAGTATTTATTGATCCTAAGAAGGTTTTCGACACTGTAGTCGGGAATCAGCACACCGAAATTCGATCACGTACTGTGCACTCGAGGATATACGTTTTAAAAAATATGTACAATATGGAGAATGACCTTGCGGATGCAAATCCGAAGGGCTCCATTTAATTCGTAATTGCAATTAAGAATAAAAAAATATTTTCTGACTTTTTTGAATTATCCGAAAAATACTATTTTTTGTATTTAACTCACGATTGTGACGCTATTTTTCAATATTTTTCCAAAATTCTTGCACCAAATGAAAGCCTAGTCATTGTAGAGTTCAACTGTATATGCAAAAAACTATTTTTTTTTATACTGAATTTGTCAGATTACTTAAAAGCAGGTGCGGTACCAAAACTGAAGTGAAAATTTCAGCATCGAGAAAATTTTTGAACGGTTGAAGATAGATATATGATCAATCGACGAAAAATGTGCCTAAATGAGTGAGGAAGTTTTTGGTGAAAAGAGATTTTGACTAGTGATAACGGTTTCCGAGATATGATTTTTTTTTGAAACGACGATACGCGCCGGCAGCTGCCGCATTGATCTCAATGAACGCGTTGCCCGTACCCTGGCCCCAGCGTGGCCCAACTTCGACAGTACTTATTTATTCTATAGGGACAGACATTTCTATAAAACCTAATTAGGTAACTAAAACTTAATTTTAATTTAAATGAAACCCGCCTCCAGAATAGCAACCTCTTATACCATCCAGCCCTGCTTTTAAACAACTACAGTTTAGTTTCTAGTGCATATCTGGAGTTTGCATTTGCAGCACCATTTTCGAATCTTACATCGGTAACGATACTTATTGTGGTTAATTTTATTATCTTTCAGATCCCAACCAAAATTAACTGGGTTGGGAATTTCTGGATTTATTAAAATCGCACTCTTCCACACAATTATTCCATAGGCAGTTCTTCAGTTCTTTCTTAATAGTAGGCACATGCTGATTTGATTTTGCTGATGAAATGCATCCTTTGTGAGTGGCAAATTCCTTATATCAGATTTACAGGTATGAAATAGATGTGCGCACGACATATTGTTTATTTGGAACGCCTGTAAATGATGGCTTACCATACAAAATTTTGAAAAAATACCTAGCTGCGTTTTCGAAACTCATTAAATTATTGTAGTGAAGTTATCTATAGTTGAACCAAATCCAAGCGGCAGTAAATGACAAACTGTTCATTTTCATTACAACCTATCAAAGATCCTCCCTGCATGCGCACTGGTACAGGTAGGGTATTTCAACCAATAGGAATGCTGGTGTTTGTTTACAATTTATTAGGTTATTGTCATGTCATTTACTGCCGCTTGGATTTGGAAATAGTGTAGAAGTGTCTTTAATAGGCTCGTACAGCATATTTTTTTTATTACATATTCTAAAAGAGCGTGTTGATTTTAGCAGTTATGCAAAATTTCATAGTTTTCTGAGCCCTTGTTCATATTTAAATAAATTATCAAAATACTCCAAATTTGAAACACGCGATGACGTCACCGCATCTCTCACGTTGGTCCTTGTGGTGCTGGTACGCCAGTCACTTCGACAATACGGGCATTGTTTTGACAAGTTTCAGTTTAGCATCGTTTAGACAAGTTTCAGTTTGGCATTTCATGTTTCTGGTAGAACTGGATGTTTTTTTTGGTATTTGATGGTACTGTAGGTTTGACAAGTATTGGATTATTGGATAATACCAAATATTCTAGTTGCAAGCTTTATTGTGATGGGAAAAGTGTAGTACAGGCAGTATTTTAGAAGTATTTGCTGAGGTACATATACCATATAATTTAAAAAGTCTGTTTTTTTTTAAACAGAACCTTAAGTCAAAAATTTGTGTTACATTGTATTGCTAACATTATGTAATGTTGACTTGATTAATAAAAAACTAGATTTTACCTAAAGTTTGTTGTTAATAAATGGAAATTGAAGATAGTGAAGTAGTGTAGGTATTTTCTACCATTCCAGCGGCAATCATGACGATATTCTTGAGAAGGCGGTTACCTATATTTCGTCTATATCCATTGCGTACTTTAACGAAACAATTATTAAAACGGAATAAATAGTTGAACAGTTCTTCCATTTCCTACAGGTTTTGATCGAATAACCGAGTTATTGAAGTATATAGGTCGGACCGAGTAGGTCTCCGTTGAAACGGCAGCGGCCGGCGCGCATCGGCGTTTCACTAAAAAAATCGTATCTCGGAAACCGTTACCACTAGTGCAAATTTATTTTCACCAAAAACTTCCTCACTCATTTAGGCACATTTTTCGTCGATTGATCATATATCTATCTTCAACCGTTCAAAAATTTTCTCGATACTGAAATTTTCACTTCAGTTTTGGTACCGCACCTTCTTTTACGTAATCTGACAAATTCAATATAAAAAAAAATACTTTTTTGTACATGCAGGTAAAATCTACAATAACTAGGCTTTCAATTGGTTCAAGAATTTTGAAAAAATATTGAAAAATGGCGTCACAATCGTAAGTTAAACACAAAAAATAGCTTTTTTACGATAATTGAAAATAGTCGGAAAATATTTTTTTTTTCTTAATTGCAATTACGAATTTAATTGAGCCCTCCGGATTTAGATCCGCAAGGTCATTCTCCACCCTGTACATATTTTTTAAATCGTATATCTTCGAGTGCACAGTTCGATGTGTAGGAGACGTCTTTTCGGCAGTCTGATCCCCGACTACTGTCGACATATACCTGATGTTGAATAAGTTGTATGGAATGGGTTTTGGAGGTGTGTGCCAGAACCTACTAATATCCTATTTACCCAAAAGGAGAAATTTTACATCAGCGAATGGAGTGGATAGTGAGGAGGAATATACAAAAATTGGAGTAGCTCAGGGTTCAGTGCTGGGGCCTCTGCAATACCTACTATATGTACACAGTCTTACACTTGCTTGTGTTACTTATTATATGTTTACAGATGACACAGTAATAGTTTTTGCTGAAGATAACACAGATAAGTTAGAAAGAATCCTAAACTCGTATCTTGAGAAATATAACCACTGGCTGAACCATAACAAACTAACGATAAATAAAGAAAAATATATCTATATGATTGTTAAGCAAAATGGCAAGGACCCCTTTAAAATTAGACAGCGCAGTATTCAAGGAAGTCAGTCAGTATGAATATTCAATATTGAGAGCTTCATATTTCGAACAATTTGACATGGAAAGCACACATAGAACATGTTTTAAAGAAAATCGCACTAATATAGTTGGCGCGAAGCGAAGAAGATGTGCACACCAGTTAAATACAAATTCGAAGTATCTAGGTACCTACTTAATAATGATATGATCGAACTCCACCTTAAATACCTAATATCCTGTTTAATATCCAGAAGGCATACAGAAAAAAGTATAGTGCTACCAAGAAGTGTCAACAAACCTCTGGCCTATAGGCATTTCTGTCAAGTGTCAAGGGGTTTCATCCTCGTCGTATGGGAGCAAAACCGCCCACAGCAAATTTTCAGAGTGGGGGCAGACAAGGCCAGTCTCATCAGAGGATGCTACATTTCTGTAGCAAAATTTAAGAGGCTTAAAAACCAAACTCAAAGATGCTATTTGTGCTGCTCGCTCCGAGTCTTTCTCAGTGATTGCATTCACGGAAACCTGGCTGGACTCTAGTATCTGTGATGCTAAATTTCTTGACTCACGTTACACGGTTTATCGCTCTGGGTCCTTGTTCTTAAAACAGGGGAGCAGCGTTCCCAGAAAAACGAGTGTTTTGTCTTTCCCAACGATATGCAACTGATAATATAAATAACAGACGGTAAACTCGTTCTCCTGGGAACGCTGCTCTCCTGTTTCAAGAATAGGAACCCTGATAGGAGGAATTCTAGCTGCAGGGAAATCTGGCAGAAGCAAACTATCGTAGTACTTACCTAATAAAAAATATTATTGATCAGCTCAATTTTATTTAACTCAGTAATGGTCGGAAATTGGAGTTCTCTAATCTAACAGAGCCTGTAAAAGGATTTTTATTCTTCTCACACGAACTTCAGCTCTATAAGGATGCAAAATGAGCATCTCAAAGAGCTCAATAATGGCCAGAAAGAAGAGTTTGATACTTTTCCAGTTCAATTGCACCTCTGGGAGAGCCGGGAATAAAATTTTCATATTGAGATTGTCTCATACATAATAATTATTGACCTATTTTCATCAGAAGGGCATACATTATGTTATTTCCTTCTGTTATTATGTAATAACCTGTTATTCAATAAAAACAAAATACCTAATTGCAGGGCCAAATCATCAATTTGCTATTTTTTGTTGTTATTTTCTATTTCATCACGCCCATAATCAATAAAGCCCCAAAATAATACCCTCACCGAATTATATTATAAAACACTTCAATATATCAACATGTCCAATATGTTTGAATTCATCAAAATTCCAAGAATTTTGCTTTCGATTATGGCAATTTATCCTACTACAGAGTTTTCATTAGTTTACAGGTAATAATAAGTTTTAATTTTTCTATATTTATACATCAATTTATTCCAGAATTCGTACCATTATTTCAATGGGCACCCTGTTTGCATTGGTCTTATGCTTGAGCTACGAAGTAGCCCTTCAAGTAGGCAACTTCGTTAAGCTTTCCGAAAGCCTTTACCTGCACATAACAATTTTCAATAGTTTTTTCAAGTTTGTGATTATGACTTACAAGCGAGAAGAGTTTTTCAAGTGCATCGACATGCTTGAAACTCCTAGTTTTGTCGCTTACAACGACCAATACAATTCGGTTTTGAGGCAATTGAAGAAATTTTGTGTTGGCATTCAAGCTACTTGTTTTATCCAGTTAAACATTGCTTTGTTTTGTTTAGCTGTTTACCCTAGTAATAATTTGGTATATTTTTTTAGGAAAAGTCTAAATAAAATCATTAATTTTAGTTTGGGAATCAAATAAACCTTTACCAGTAGAATTTAAATATTTTAATTCAGGCATGTTCTATTATCCTTTTTACATGTTTGAAGTTATTGGGGAATACATTTGTGGCTATACTAATCTTTCTTTGGATTTGCTTTCTGTGGGTTTCCTAATGATTTCAGCTACTCAATTGAGAAAGTTGAACATGAAGTTGATTGATATGAAGAAAAATGTTAAAAGTTTGCCAGATTATTCAGAAGAAAATTCGGAGAAATTTTATTTGGATTATTTAAAAGAGTGCTGCATCCATTACAGCGATATTGAAGAGTAATGTATAACAACTTTTTCAGTTTTTAGTTTCTAATGCTATAGTTTTTCTAGATTTTCAAAATGTATTCAAGATTGTTTCGGCATAATTTCCTCCATCCAAATGGTCACTGGTTGCATATCGATTTGCAATACTTTGATGCTACTGACCTCAGTAAAATAGTTCAATAAAGTCAATTAACTCGATTTTTATTAACACATTTTCAGCTATCACCAATATCCCCAAAAGCTATAGCTCTGATTAGCTACACAACTTGTATGCTGGCCGAATTGGGATTGTATTGTTGGTTTGGGAGTTTCGTTTCCCATGAGGTAATATTTAATATTTTGAAAAATGTAGGTAGCTGTTTTATAACATCATTTCTAGAGTTTAGAAATCTTAACTTCTTGCTACTTTTCCTCTTGGTACGAATATAGTCCAAGAGTGAGATGTTCTTTGTTTATTCTAATGGAAAGAACCAAAAGGCCCATAGAAGTTAAAGGGTTCAATTTGATAATGTTGTCCCTGGAGACATTTATTTCGGTAAGCATGGTTGTGTCACTGCTGTATTATTTATATATTGATTTTAGATTTTGAAATGGACTTACTCGTATTATACTTTGCTGAGGAATTATAAAGCAAAACATCATTTATATAACTGAGAGATGTAATAGGGATTATATTATGTATTTGAAAGGTACTTAGTAAAATAATAGAGGAAAGCATTAATACTTTCGTTTTATTTCAGTGTTAGTAGAATTTAACGATGTAATTGGAGTAAGTTAAGATTCTTTTTGAAGAACTTCCCAACAAGAAGAATAATGTTCCTTTATTTCTTCTTTGCTAAATTATAAATTACCAGGAAAAAAAACCTCAAGCTCTTTCATTTTGCCTCATAACTTTGTTAATTTGAATCCGATCCTAACGTAATCAGGCTTAAATTGAAGATAATTAAATTCTCTAGGAACTAGTACGAACTCATAATAATTATTAGTTCGGGTAGTCATAAGATGTATAAGATAAGATAAGTGGTCGCTCTGTATAAGAAGTGGAGACTGTTGTTCTATTAATAGGTTTGCTGCTAAAATTGTAAAGCAATTATTGTAATTATGGCAATGAGACGATTTTCATCGTCTCATGAAGGAGTTGAATATATATAGTGTAAGCTTATCCAACCTAGAATAATTAGTGATTGGAAATATTTATTTGGTTGAGGACATCCACTAAGTTTGAGATCGCCAATGTCAGTAAATTATATTATTTTAAAACCAAGTAGGCACTACTGAAAGTAAGGTCAGACCAAACCCAAGAATGTCAGAGAAAGCGGGCATTAAAAAAAAGAACCCAGAAATGGATAGTAAACACTTGCAGGCAGCGTGTATAGAGCCTTACTTTTTGGGGTTGCCTTTGGGATTACCAGGGTAGTCGACTACCCACTACGGTTCGAGATAGATGTGGTTGTAAAATCATGTTATTAAAGCTAAAAGTTTTTTCTTTTCATTTCATTCTCCCCTCTACGAAAGTAGATTTTTTTATCTTGCATAGGCGAGTGAAAGCCAAAGTGAAACATGCCAGTAGTTACTTTCACTTTCGCTACTAGCATGTTACACTTTCGCATGCTTATTCACGATTTTTGAAGGGCTCGGCTGCGCTTCGCTTCGCCTCGGCTATTTGAATACACCTCGCACCTAAAAGTACGCTTTCGCAGCTTGGGATGTAAATAACTATTCTCCCGTAGAGACTGACTTTTATGTATTTCGTCTTTCCTAAATTTTGAGTGACTTTACATAATCTTAATTTTGACAATTTTTTCATCTACTCTTAAATTGGAACTGCCTACTCTCATGATTGGACTTTTAATGTTTGTTGAATGAATGTTTAATTTTGTCTCCATTTTGGTAGTGATGAAATTTGGTTGGCTACCGCTATTGAGTAACGCCCTGCAGCGCATCTGACTAAAACAAGTGCAAGTATCTTCTTGTTGATGTCCAAGTTTCAAGGCTGATTCCTCGGCTGATTCTTTGCTACGCTACAATTGCTCACGTGATCGAAAGCGTCGTTTCTCGAATTTTGTCCTGAATAGGCCCTTTGTTTTGGTGTTTCATGATTAGCACGTAAGCAATTTGTACATAATTTTAAATTATTTATTTCCTTGAACCGTGTTAGTATTGGGAGAGATTTCAACTTTCCACATGCATAAATAGGGTCGTTACCTCCTGTTATAAAAATTATACTGACCATTATTTTTCGATATAGTGAGGCCTAAAACTTGGCCATGTCATATTGGTTTTATTGAAAATTGTTTCCTGGATTATTTAAATTAATTTTAAATTTAAACATTTTTTGTCCTTGTCGAATTGTTGGTCTCTTTCTCCCATGACGTCACTAGGCGGGCATGCGCAAAGCAGTTGTAAACAAATTCATCAACATATGCAATTTTGTGAGGTTATGTTGTTTTGTTATTATTAGGCAATCCAACGACCTGTCCAAATGGCGTCTGGTTGGCAAACAATAAACAAAAAACATATGTTTTTTTTTGGCAGTATTAAGCCTTGTACTCATAACAGCGAAATTCGTTCTTTTTTGAGATTGCTTCGACAATTTGACTTTTGATTCACGCATAAAACGTCAAATTGTCGACGCAATGTCAAAAAAGAACGAATTTCGCGGTTATGAGTACTAGGCTTTATCAATACACGGGACGAGTACTCAAATCTGACAATTTTCTGATATCGTTGACATGCAACAACTTGTATTCTAACCTCATAATAATTTCAAAATGCCGGCTGGTTGGCAAAAGTCATGTGGTTTGGATTCCCTAATTTTGGAATGTCGTTGATCGTTGTTATATTTTCATTATTTTTTGAGTTTTTCAACGGTTTTTCCGAGGTTTCAAGAAAAATATTTGAAAGAAACGTGTAATAAATTCAAGGTAAGTCATTGTTTCTCATTATTTGATGTTATTAAGGTCTCAAATAGAGCATGCATTTCAGTTTCAGTTCAGTGTACCCACCTAAGTCCAACCTACTGTACACTATTTGGTTATGGATTTTCGTAAATGTTTTGTTCCTTCTTGTGAAACCAGTAATCTAAATTCGAAGAAAATCTTTATAGCTGTTCCCAAAAATGAACTGTAATATCTCGATTGAGAGTTAAATAAATACTTTTATTTCAAATATATCACATTTTATTTTTATCACAGATTTAAAGGTATTATTGTGTTGTCTGAACACAATATTTCAAATGAGAAAATACTTCTCTGGAAGAATTAGGAGCAATTCAGTTAATAACTTTTTAATAATAATAATAAACAAAAACGAAATTATTTATCTCCACAACCTTGCCTAACAACTAACCAAAGCTAACTACACACAAAAAAATAAACAATAATAAAAACACAAAGGTAAAAACACAAAGGTAAAAACATAAAGGTAAAAATACAATAGTAAAAACACAAAGGTCACTACATAACCTTCCTCCAGAAGTATTCTACTTCGAAATTTTAAATCTCACTTTTTTTATTTTTTTATTTATTTCTTGTTTCACTGGTGCAGATTTTTTCACCTTCAATACTGATTCCAAAGAATTATCCAACAAACATGTATCCATAAACGCTGGTTTAATACGATCAATTGATACATTATAGGGTTTTCCGTTTAAATCTATTTTAAAAAATTTATTTGATTTCTCCAAAACTTTAAATGGACCATTATAGGAAAACGATAAAGGTTTCTTATGAGAATCGATCTTAACGAAAACATGCGATGAATCAAACAAATTTTTGTTAATGAAAAACTTTCTTTGTTTAAAATTTGAGGTTGCTGGTTTTAAGTTTTGCATAAATTCTTTAAGTTTTATAACAAAGTCAGAAGAAGTTTGGCTTTCAGAAGTAGAATTCTCAAAAAATTCTCCAGGAATACGTAAAGTAGTCCCATAAACCATTTCCGCAGCACTACATTGGATAGAATCCTTAAAGCAAGTTCTCAGCCCAAGCATGACTATGGGAAGCGAATCAACCCAATGAATACCATCAACCGCCGTCAAAGCACTTTTGAGACTTCGATGAAATCGCTCAATAACACCATTAGAAATAGGATGATAAGCTGTTGTTTTAATGTGATGAGTGCCGAGAATTAACATTAATTCTTTAAATAATTTTGACTCAAATTGAGATCCTCTATCAGATGTAATAAAAGTTGGTATACCAAATCTACTTATCCACTGAGAAACTAAAGCTTCAGCAACCGTAGAACTATTAATATCTTTAACAGGAATTACTTCAGGCCACCTAGTATACCGATCTATACAAGTAACAAGATACTTAAAACCTTTAGAACAGGGCAAAGGACCCACAATATCGATATGTAAGTGACTGAATCTGTCTTTAGGAGTCTCAAATTGTGACAAAGGACTTACCGTATGTCTAATTATTTTAGACCTTTGACAACTTACACATTCTTTTGTCCACCTCTTAATATCAGATCTTAAGTTTGGCCAGACTACCCTAGATGAAATAAGCTTTTGTGAAACACGAATTCCAGGGTGTGATAAAGAATGCATAATTTTGAAAATTTTATACCGAAACTTAATTGGGATAAACGGACGAGCCTTGCCTGTTGATACATCACAAAACAATTCAACTGATTCGTCATCTAAATGAAACTTTTCCAATAACAAAGAAGTATTGTCTGAATTCTGAAAGAACTTTAGTTCCTGATCAGTTTCTTGTACTTTCGCAAGTTCTAAATAATTAATATTTTCCAAACAAATCGAATTTAACTCAATGCGACTTAGAGCATCGGCAACAGCATTGTTTTTACCTGAAATATGTCTAATATCTGTAGTAAACTGTGAAATGAAATCTAAATGTCTAAATTCTCTAAGGGAATATTTATCTGAATTTGATTTGATTGCATATACCAGTGGCTTATGATCTGTTAAAATATGAAAAACCCTGCCTTCAAGTAAATACCTGAATTTTTTGATAGCCAAATAAATTGCCAAAAGTTCTCTTCCAAATGTACTATATCTCTGTTCAGTAGGTGTAAGTTTTTTTGAAAAGAAACACACAGGCTGCCAAAAATTATTATGATATTGTTGAAAAACTGCACCTACTGCAAAATCAGAAGAATCCACCATAATGTTCAGAGGTACATTTTCCCTAGGGTGATTTAAAAATGTTGCAGTAGCTAATGCTTCTTTAATCTTGACAAAATCATTCTGAGCACAATTTGTCCAAACAAAATTCTTTTTCTTATTAGATTTAACGAGATCATACAAGGACTTGCATAAATCTGCACAATTTGGAATAAATCTATGGTAAAAATTTACCATACCCAAAAATTCTTGGAGCTTGCGTTGAGAAGACGGAACCGGGAACTGTCGAATTGCTTCAACTTTTGCAGATAAGGGTTTTATTCCTCTGCCATTAACTAAATGACCCAAAAATTCTATTTCATTCAACCCAAATTTACATTTTTCTGGGTTCAAAATTACGCCATATTCTTCTAGTCTTTGAAAAATTTTGTGTAAATGTTCTTCAT